TGTATCAAAAAAATTTCCATTCTCTGAAGAAAGAATTAGAAGAAGATATCAGAAGATGGAAAGATCTCCCATGCTCATGACTTGGCAGGATTAATATAGTAAAAATGGCCATCTTACGAAAAGCAATCTACAGATTCAATGCAATTCCCATCAAATTACCAACACAATTCTTTCAGACCTTGAAAGAAAAATTCTCAACTTCATATGGAATAACAAGAAACCCAGAATTGCTAAAACAATCCTCTACAATAAAAGATCTTCAGGAGGTATCTCCTTCCCTGATCTCAAGCTGTACTATAGAGCAACAGTTATAAAAACTGCATGGTACTGGCGTAGAAACTGACTGGTGGATCAATGGAATCAAATAGAAGACCCAGCAATAAACCCACGCACTTACGGACACCTGATTTTTGACAAAGATGCCAAAACTATTCTATGGAAAAAAGATAGCATCTTCAACAAATGTTGTTGATCTAACTGGATAATCTACATGTAAAAAATTGCAAATAGATCCATACTTATTACCCTGCACAAAACTAAAGTCCAAGTGGATCAAAGACCTCAATATAAAACCAGACACACTAAACCTGTTAGAAGACAAAGTGGGGAAGAGCCTTGAACTCTGGCATGGGAGACAACTTCCTGAACATACATTTTAATTTTTAATGATAAGTAACTTACTATAAAAATTCAAGTTCATTCAGTGGGAGACAGTCAAAACCCTGAGGAAAACTGTGAAACAAGCACCAATTTCCTTTGTCTGTTTTCTTCATAATTTCCCTGACCTTTAATGACTTAAGGCCTCCTCATTTTTCTTGCCTATGAAGATCTATAAGATGTGACATAAGTTGTTGAAACATCAGTGTGCCCTTCACTCAATGGCTTCCATTTTGGTTTTTTTTTTTTCTTTTTTCCTGTAACTGAACATAAAACATTAAAACAATAACAAGAAAAAATAAAACCCATAAGCTGGGAGTGATGGCACACGCCTTCCACCTGTAACCCCAGCACTCAGGGAGGCAGAGGCAGGCAAATTGCTGTGAGTTCAAAGCCAGCCTGGTCTACAAAGTGAGTCCAAAGCAACCAAGGCTACACAGAGAAACCCTGTCTTGAAAAACAAAAACAAAAACAAACAAAAGGATAAAAAATAGTATAGCCAGGAAATAAAAGAGTACAGAAATATTTTATTGCCCACAGCAGATAAGAAGAGCACTGGAGTTATTTACAAATCAATGGCACTTCTAAACATAAAGGACTCATTTGTGTAATCTATTCGTATGCACACAAGAAAGCACTTTAGGGACATGCTCCCTTAAGGGACATAGTCCAGAGGGAAACATGCTGGCCCTATTTTGGGGCATGCTTATGTCAAGGTAATAGAGCTTATGTTCAACATGCTAAAATGGGGGAGTGCTCAGTTTGTGTCATAAAGATGGCAGGCAGGAACACCTCTGGGCACTTTGAGTTTCCCACCAAAAGTTGTAGTTGAAACAAAAGGAAGAGGTACTCCCAATGTGCTCTAACGTAATAGTTTTTCCCTAAATATGCCTGCCTTGCTTAACGCTAACATTTCTTGTTGAGAATTGGCAGATGCTTTTGGTCTGTTTTAAGGTTACTAGAGATAAGTCTTTATGTGTAATAGAACAGCATCATACCAAGGAGCCACCCAAATCACTATCTATCTATCTATCTATCTATCTATCTATCTATCTATCTATCTATCTATCTATCTATCATAATTTATTCACTTTGCATCCCCACTGCAGCTTCCTCTCAAATCTCCTCCAAGTCCCACCCATTCTCTCCCTTCTCCCCCTATACCTTTTTCCTAGTTCCCTAATAGGGGAGGACCTCCTCCCCTTCCATCTGACCGAAGATTGATTATCATGTCTCATCAAGGTTGGCTGCATCATCTTCCTCTGTGGCCTGGTATGGCTGCACCCTTCAGGGGAAGTGATCAAAGAGCCAGCCACTGAATTCATGTCAGAGACAGCCCCTGATCCCCTTACTAGGACACCCACTTGGAGACTGAGCAGGCTATGGGCTTCCTCTGAACAAGAGGTCTAGGTCCTCTCCATGCACGGTCCTTGGTTGGAGTAGTAGTCTCTACAGGTTCCCCTGGGCCCAGGTACTTTGGCTCTGTTGTTCTCCTTGTGGAGTTCCTGTCCCCTCCAGGTCTTTTTATCTTCTTCCATAAGGATTCTGGCACTCCGCCCAAAGTTTGCCTATGTGTCTCAGTATCTCCTTCGATACACTGGTGGGTAGAGTCTTTCAAAGGTCCTCTCTGGAAGGTTCCTGTCCTATTCTTTGTCTTCTCCTACTTCCCATGACTATCCTCTTTGCTCTTCTGAATGAGGATTAAGCATCTTCCCTAGGGTCCTCCTTGTTGTTAAGTTTCTTTAGGACTACAGATTTTAGTATGTTTATCCAACATTATATGGTTAATATCCACTTATAATTGAGTATATATCATATGTGTCTATCTGCTTCTGGGTTACCTCACTCAGGATGATCTTTTCTAGTTCCCAATATTTGCCTGAAATTTTCATGATTTCCTTGTTTTTAATTGCAGAGCAGTAATGCATTATGTAAATGTACCTCACTTTTGGTGTCCAGTCCTCTATTGAGTGATATCTAGGTTGTTTCTAGATTCTGGCTATTACAAATAAAGCTGCTATGAACATAGTTGAGCAAATGTCCTTATTGAATGGTGGGGTATCTTTTGGGTATATGCCTAAGAGTGATATATCTGGATCTTGAGGTAGCAGTATTCCTAATTTTCTGAGAAAGCACCAGATTTGATTTCCAAAGTGGTTGTACAAGGTTACATTCCCACCAGCAATGGAAAAGGGTTCTCCTTTCTCCACAGCCTCTCCAGTATGCATCATCCCTTGATGTTTGGATCTTATCCATTCTTATTGGTGTGAGGTGAAATTTCAGGGTCGTTTTGATTTGTGTTTCCCAAATGACTAAGGACATAAAGCATTTCTTTACATGTTTCTCTGCCATTTGATATTCCTCTCTTGAGAATTCTCTGTTTAGCTCTGTACTCCTTTTATAATTAGGTTACTTAGTTTGTTGGTATTTAACTTCTTCAGTTCTTTATATATCCTGGATATTAGCCCTCTATCGGATGTAGGGTTGGTGAAGATCTTTTCCCACTCTGTGGGCTGTCATTTTGTTCTGATGACAGTGTCTTTTGCTTTACAAAAGCTTTTCAATTTCATTAAATCCCATTTATTAATTGTTGTTCTTAGAGCCTATACTGATGGTGTTCTGTTCAGAAAGTTGTCTCTTGTGCCATTGAGGTCAAGGCTCTTTCCTCCTTTTTCTTCTAATAGATTTAGTGTGTCTGATTTTATGTTGAGGTCTTTGATCCACTTGGACTTTAACTTTGTGCAAGGTAATAAATATGGGTCTATTTGCATTTTTCTACATGTAGACATACAGTTAGACCAGCACCACTTGTTCAAGATACTGTCTTTTTTCCATTGTATGGTTTTAGCTTCTCTGTAAAAAATTAAATTTCCATAGTTGTGTAGGTTTACAGAAATGGGAATCTTTTAAGACCCTTGGAAAAGTCTATCTGCAACACTTGGATGTCAGATCACCAGCCACACAAGTGAGTCACATTGGAAGATCAATGAGGCAGTTCTGTATGCTGGGTGTTCATATTCACCAGATGCTACAGCTACCTTGACATCTTAGTAGCTTGGTGGCCTTGGGAGAGAAAGCACTTTTCAGGAGTAGCCTATCAGTAGCAATTGGATAGGCCTGGCCTACCAGTCTATCTTTCATATACAATGTATCTTATACAAAGTATCTACATTCCTTCCTCTTCAGAAGTGAGCTTATAGTGATAAAAGAAGGTATGCCCCTGATTTGTTGGCTTCCCCATATCTAAATTATAATAATGAAGTCTGAATTTTAAAAAAGCAAACCAAGCTTAGAAGCATGACTTGGTTGGAGATGAACCACTCAAGATATTTAGTAACATTGTTGGGGAAAGAATAACCTTGGTTTCCAGCAGAGGAACAAATGAAGAAAGCAAAGGTATTTTTAAAAGTTTTTTTTTTGTTTGTTTGTCTTGTTTTTGTAAAAAGTGGTGTACCAGAACACAAACAGGTTAATAAACACACTTGTCCAAATGGCCTGTTTTTATCACTGGTGTAAATGGTGACTGCATCTTATCCCACTGGTAGAAACTCAGTTTCAAAGACTTCACAATCTGAGAAGATTGGCTAATATGCACCAAGGGGAAGTGAGAGTTTAAGAAAAATTGCCTGACTGCCTTTAAAAGAAAAAAAAAAAAAACAGAGACATGTTCACTTTTCTTTGTGTTGTAAAGACTTATTGTGAAAGGGTATCTTAGAATACTTCAGAAATTACTCTTTCATTGTTCTTTGTATTTAATGGTAGGACAAGTTTTTTCTTCTTTCCTACCTCACTTAATTATTTAATAATATCCATTATTTATTTATTTTCTTTCAAGTCACGGTTTCTCTGTATAGTCTTGGCTGTCCTGGACTCACTTTGTAGACCAGGTTGGCTTCAGACTCAGAGAGATCCATCTATCTCTGCCTCCCTGTGCATTGAGATTGTAGGCATGTGCCACTGTACCTGGCCAGTTTCCGTTTTTAAATTTTATTTTATATGTATGTGCTTTGTCTACATGTGTGTCTGTGTACCACTTGGCATTCTTGATACTCCAGGAGTCCCTAAGAAGTCCTCAGGATCATCTGAAAATGGATTCAAATGGAGACCCTTCTTAATCACTGAGCCATCACTCTAATCTTTGTAGTTTCTTATTTTATTCAGGGAGTTATGATCATTTATCTCCATTATTTTTATAAAACATTGTTAAAAACTTTTATTTTGATAATCTATAGTAGAGAGTTAACTCTGCCATAGGTTCATCTGAACAATGTCTATTTCAATGCAGCTCGGGCACACAGAGTCCATGCTGTATTGTTTCCAAATCCAGATGACCAAACAGTCCTTTATCTCCAATGGAGAGTTAAAATGTATGGGTTAGGCATTCCAGGATCTGCACCACCCATAAATCCCAGCTAAATCACAGGGGGAGAAAATCAGCAGCAGTCAGAAAATTGACCATCCCTGAAGAGCTGCTGCACCCTTTTCTTGGTCTCTTTTCTCAGCTTCACCATGGTGATGGCTGGGTAGTGCTGAGAAGAACTTTCACTCTTTCTTTCAATTGATTAATTAATTACCTTTACATTTCAAACTCAGCCTTTGCTCTCCTTTCCTCCCAGTCCCACCCTCATGCTCCCTTTTCTCTCCCCACCTCCTTCTCAGAGAAGGAAAGTCCACCCTCCATGGGTACCAATGTAATGGAAGTTTTATTTCCCTTGTAAACTCAGTTATATAAATGTTTTTGTTTTAATCCAAAGTATAAGGTTTTAGTTGGGCTATAGTTGGTCCAAACTTGTTAGTTGTCTAATGCGGGGCTTGGCTTTTGCCATCTGGGTTCCCTACCTCATGCAGCACAGAGAAGGGTGTGGTCTAGGAATCTGAGGACATAAATTGAGAGCCCAGAAAGAAAGGGGGTGAGGCATGGCATGTGGCATTGCCATGTGTCATGTAGCAGTTTGGGGAGATGGACGAATGGACGGTGTGGAGATTTGGAGCAGACAGATGGAGAGAAACACTTCAAGATGTAGCTACTTAAAGAAGACTTCTGGCTGGGTCTGCTGTTCATAGGGATTGTATAGAGCCCTAAAAGAACCCATTAACCTGAAACAACAGCGAGAAGTAAAAGGGTTCCCTCTCCCCACTAACCTTTTTTCTTCTACATAGAGTTGGGAGGTTGGAAGGGAGGTTGAGCAGTAAATACCCCAAATAAAGTAGAGTTTAAAGAATGAGTGCTACATACCAACCCACCCTGGCACATCAAGTCACAGCAAGATTAGGCACATCCTCTTCCACTGAGGCCAGGCAAGACATTCCAGCTTGGGGAAAGGGATTCAAAGGCAGGTGACAGAGTCAGAGAGAGCCCACACTCCCATTGTTAGGAGGCCCATGAGATGACCGAGCTACAAATCTGTTACATATATGTGAGGGGTTTAGGTCCAGCCCATGGATGCTCTTTGGTTGGTGGTTCAGTTTCTGTGAGCCTCCATGGACCCAGGTGAGTCAATACAGTATTTTTTCAGAAAATTAAGAATATGTCTACCTCAAGATCCAGTTATACCACTCCTGGACATACTCAAAAGATGTACTACCATACCACAAAGACACTTGCTCAACTATGTTCATAGTTGTAGTTTTTTTTTTTTTCATACTAGTCAGAAACTGGAAACAACCGACATGTCCCTCAACTGAAGAACAGATAAAGAAACTGAGGCACATTTACACAACGGGATACTACCAAGCTATTGAAAACAAACAAATCGTGAAATTTGCAGGCAAATGGATGGAATTAGAAAAGATCATCTTGAGCAAAGTATCCCAGACCCAGAAAGACACACATGGCATGTACTCACTTATAAGTGGATTTTTACCTATACAGTACAGGATAACCATGCCACAATCCACAGACCCAAAGAAGCTAAGTGACAAGGAGGTCCTAAGGGGAAATAGGCATTGGAGGTGGATGCATGGAATGAACTGGGCAGGAGAGGAGATAGGGAAGGAAACATAGGTGGGGATCAGGTGTGGGGAGAGGGGGATTGAGAGGGCTGAGAGAAAGAATGGAAATTGATGTGTGGGGTACATCTCTGGGAAGTTTCAGGGGAGGCTCTTGGGAGTCTATGGGGATGACCCTAGCTAAGACTCTTAGCAGGCAGAGATACAGAGGCTAAAGTGGCCACCTCCTGTAGCCAGGCAGGATGTCTAGTTCAGGGAGGTGGACACCAATCTACCCACAAAACCTTTGGCCCAAAATTTGTCTTACTCATAAGATGTGCAGGAATAAAGATGAAGCAGAGATTGAGGGAATGGATAACCAAAGACTTGGCCAACTTGAGACCCATCCCATGGGAAAGAGCCAACCTCTGACTCTATTAATGATACTCTGTTATGCTTGCAGACAGGAGCCTAGCATAACTGTCCTCTGAGAAGCTTCTCCCAGCACCTATGGAGACAGATGCAGAAACCCACAGCCAAACATTAGGTGGAGCTTGGGAGTCTTGTGGAAGAGTAGGAGGAAGGATTGAGGGAGCTGGAGGGATCAGACAAACCACAAGAAGACCTACACAGGAAAATAACCTTACTCTTTTTTTTTGAGGCTCATTATCTACCCTCACTTTTGTTAGTAAGTGTATCTTAAGATTAAATATACCATTAAGCTGGCTTTGTCCTTTTTACAGTTTAGTTTAATTATTTTTAATTCCTTCAGGAATGAAAATGGGATTAGGTTATATAGGAGAATTTCTTTGGGGGAGCTTATTTTAGGACTGAAGTGTCATAGTGCTTTCAACTTACTTTCAAATGGGTGAGCAACAACAGAAATAGGGCTCTGTATGCAGACATGCTTGTACGTGTGTGTGTATGTGTGTGTGTGAGAGAGAGACAGACAGAGAGAGAGAGAGAGAGAGAGAGAGAGAGAGAGAGAAGAATGAACGTGCAAATATGATAAAAATTGAATCTGGAGATATACCAGTATTTACTGTGCCATTCTTTCAATTTCTTGAAGGCTTAAAACTTTTCACAGTATCATTTTCAGCAAAAGTAACATAAACAAAGAAAAATAGCTCTAAATGGTAGATGATCTATTTTGTTTCAAAATGTGGTTCTGTATATAACATAACATTTAACCTCCATGTTTTCCCCTTCAGGTCCAGGGTACAAGAAGATTAATTTTTTTAATGAACATTTCTAAGTGTCAGCTTACATCTGTCCTCCACAATTCAATTAAATGAAATGTTTGATCAAAAAGTGCCCCAAAGCAGTGACCTCATTAAGTATATTCATGTTGCTCCCTAGACCTCAGTTCCGCTTTTTGGTTGTTCCCACAAGTAAAGCTGTTTTATAATCCAATCCCTGTGTAAATGTTTGGGGGTGAGGAGGTCATTTGTCTAAAGGCAATAGATAACATACAGGCACTCATAGTGTCATTATTTGAGCCCAGTCATCATACTCCAGTATCTGAAGATTTTCTTGCTTTCATCCACAATAAAAGAAAAAGGCAGTAAATAGACTGCTTCCCCGGGTAGTGGATGTACAGTATGCCCCTTTAATATTTTTCCTGCTTTTTCTGAAAGACTTTTGCTTGAAGCGATTTGTATGTTGGTGGTGGGGACCATTTGACTAGTGTATGTTTTCTGTGGCAGAAAGTCCCTAAGAAACTGAATAAACCCAGAATCTCCAACTTACTAATAAAGGATTACTTCGGGATATAGAAACTAGTTGCATGATTTCAAAGCTGAAGTAAAAGAAATATCATGCTTTATCAGGGCACACAAATGTGGAGGGTATTAAAAGCCTTGAACGATATCTTCATAACTATCCAGTCACTTACAAAGCACAGAAGCCAGGAAGAAAGCAAGGAATCAAGAAGGGACCACATAATGTACTGAGTGGGGGAGGTGGGAAGAAGGTTTTTATCTTACTTTTGAATGAGAGAATTGCTTCATGAAAGACCGGTTGGAGATCTAATCAAGTGGACTTGGTCCTCAACTCCCAGTTTCCTTGAGGCCTTGGGAATGCAGCCAGCCCACGCCTGAACAATGGGCTTCCACATTGCCTTTTCCCTTTGAATTCTACCTCCTTTGAAGTAAGCAGAAGAGAGCCTTGCAGGGTAAAAGTGGCTGACCTCTATTTTCAAAGATGTTTGGAGCCAGTGAATAGAAAGGAAAAGGGTGTTTGTGGCTTTATGGTGTGTCATGGATTTGATAAACACCATCTGGGGACATTAAGTGAACAGATGCTCCAGGCAAGCTGATCTTCTCTTGGTACAGTCAAAGGACAGTCTTCATCCCACCCAAGAAAAGGTACTGCAAGGAAAAAACAAGAGATGTGAAGCCAAATACATACACTCCTGTTCTCTTGGTTCTGATGCTTTCTGACTGCTCCCTTCATTCAAAACTTCAGGAATTGACAATTGTAGGTATAATGCTTTCTCACTTTTTTTTTTTTTTGCCTCATCAGTACACAATTACTTTAGTAAGCCCCAAGATAACCAAACTCATGAGGTAAATGGGTCCATCTTGTTTTGTTGAGGAACCTCCTTGGTAGAGAGCTACAATCATTCTTGGTCAGTATTGGGTTTGTTAACTCTATGAAAAACCTAGTGTGCCTACATTTCCTTTGTTCTCTCTTGATATAACCAGTGGAAATGGTGTGTAGCTATTTATAAATAAGCTCTTTTCTATTATTGTTGTGGAGATTTCCTAGCTATTTAAAAACATGGATAAGCTCATAAGGGAAGAGAACACAATAATTCTGAGTAGAGTATTTTTCAAATAATTTCTCTTTGAAACACACACACCCAAAGATGAACAAACTTTGATGATTCTCCCTCCCAAGGAATTTCAAATATGTATTTTCATCTTATTTTTACATTCTTAGTAAGAGAACAAAACGCTGAGATGGTTTTTAAAAATTCAAAATGCTGCTAACTTCCTAGGTTGACGAAGCATTCTACAAGTGTGCTATCTAATGTAGTATAGATACATATACAAACACACACACACACATATACATATATTGTATCTAATATAGTAGTTCCTAACCATGTGTGGTTGTACAGTTGAAATATAGCAAGTTGCCTGAGAATTGACTTTTTTAATAACATTTGAAATTTGAATTAATATGTATTAAAGTTGTTTAATAGCTACTATCCTATGCAGTGATAGCCTAGGGTCTTGATGTGTCATCTCTGTTGCACCACAGTCCTTTTTGTTTCAGCATGCATTTTGATCATAAGAGTTCAAATTCTTTCTAGCTGTGTGACAAGCGTCTTGGCCTCTTTAGATCTGGCAGTTGTAAACACTGCACATGGAAATGAAATGAGATCAAGCAGATATTACTGCAGAAGATGTCTTACAGAAGAGCTGGGCCAGGAGTTGTTTACGTTATGAACCCAAAATGTCTGTGATTTATCTTATCTCTTTCTTCCTTTCTTCTTCCCCCCATCCCTTCTTCTTTCTCTTCTTCCTCTTTCTCTCCCTCTTCTTTCCCCTTGCCTCTCTGTGGTACTGGGATTTTG